CCGGGGGACCCGGAGCCCCCCCCCTCGCCCCCCTCCACGAAGCCGTTGCCGCACTCCGGCGGGTCCAGGAGCTGCCCCAGGGAAGGGGAACGCTGCAGCCAGAGCCCCCAGCGGCACCTGGCGCTTCGCAACGTGGCTGAAGATCCGGGCCGGATCCCAATGCTGCAGGACCCTTGCAAGGGGCGCTGCGTCCCCCAGCCCATCTCCGTGGCCTCCTACCTTCAGAGGCTTATTGAAGAGGCAGCTGCCACCGCCAACCTGCAGGAACTGGTTGTACTCGTCGATGCTGCAGCGGGAGAACTTGCGCGGGAGGTAGTAGCTGGGGGGGACGCGAGGTGACATGGTGACATCCTGGGGCACCTGAACCCAACCAGCCCCAATCCTCCGGGGCGGGGGGAGGCAAAACAGCCCAGAGAAGGGGGTGCTCATAAGTGTTTTGGGGACAAAACCAGGGGCTGTGTCCCCCCTCGCAGGCACTCACCCCGTGTCCTCCATGATGCAGCCCAGCCAGATGTCCGGACACCGGCACTCGCCTGCAAGAGGACAGCAGAGGCGCTGGCGGGGAGCACCTGGGGTGCCGGGGGACCCCTTGGTGTCGTGGTGCAGGCGCCCGCGGTAGAAGAGTTGGACGCTGTCGCTCGGCTCCGGCAGGGCCTCCCTGCGGTACTTCATGAACTGGGCCAGCGTCTCCAGCGAGTCCTCCTCCACGCGGATCTTGTCCTCCGCGGCCCACGTCTCCATGGCCACGAGCACGATGCGGGTGTTGAGCTGCTCCTTGTAGATCTGCGCGGGGCGAATGGGGGCACGTGGAGCTGCGAGGCCAGGCCGAGGGGCACTCGTTGGGGCCGCCCACGGGCGCTGCCACTCACCATGTCAGCCAGGTTCACTATGGACTTGGCGAAGTTGCTGGTGGGGACCTGCCGGGGGCAGCGGGAGGATGAGGCAGCGCCGTGGCGGATGGGGCCGCCCCGCGCCGCCCTGCGTGCTCCCCAGCTGGTGGTCGTTCACCACGGCCAGCTCGATGTACTTGGTCTCGCTGTGCACTGTGTGCTGCGCACGCCGCACCTGTGAGCGGGGCGACGCCTGAGGTGGCTGCCCCGGCGTCAATGGCCCG